GCAACTGTAGGGAGCCGGGCTAATCTCGGTCAGCTTTTTTCTCTCAGCCTGAGGTACCAAGGCACAAAATGGCGCCCGGATAAACTGAAGCACGGTACGGGGCATTTGAAAGCGCATCGGAGGCCACCCAATCACAAACAAGCCTTACAGTTGCTAGGCAGCTTAGAAAAAGAACGAGCCAAACATAAAATTCAGCAGCCTCCCGTACGACTGGGCCATAGAGGCCTCAAACACCCGCCTAAACGAGATCGCTATGTACGTAGGCGGCGCGTGCGCAACTAAATGGTCAGCTCGAGGACAACCGCCTGCGGTTTTCGCGGCGGCTAAGAGAAAACAATTGGAGTCTGCGCAGAGTCAATGAGTGGGCGGGAGCGCACGCGCCTTTACCGGACCAGGCGATGGCTGTGATGCGCGCATGTGTAGTTGTGTGGGTAGTGGGGACAACGCGCGTGCGTCATGGCCAGCCTAGTCGGCCGTTGGGGAGCCCCGCCTGCATGTTGGTGAGCCCAAGAGGCCGTTGGAGTCTGCGCTTGCGCGACGGTGTGGGCGGCCTTGAGACTGCGCTTGCGCATTGAGCAACCGAAGCGACGCTCGGAGGGCTGCGCGTGCGCCTTGATGGGCCCAGCCTCCCGCGCTTGCGCAGTGGTCTGTTCGTCCGGTGGGCGCGCTTGCGCTGTGGTGTTGCGAGGCGGCGGCGGGGTTCGGCGCAGGCCCAGTAGCGGCGCGGGCGGCCGAGGCGCTGGGTCGGTCGGAGTCTCTCGCTCGCTGCCTTGTCCCCCCCTTGCCATGGACGTGAAGCGTCTGAAGGTGACTGAGCTTCGGGCTGAGCTGGGTCGCCGTGGTCTCGATTCTCGTGGGCTAAAGGTGGAGCTTGCCCAGCGGCTGCAGGAGGCCCTGGACGCCGAGATGCTGGCGGCCGGGCCCGAGGAGGCCGGCGCTGCCGGGGCCTGCTCTGGGGTGGAGCCGGGGCCCGCGGGGGGCCCTGTCGGAATCCATCCGCGTGGGGAGGGCGATGACGACGAGGACGAAGAAGAGGAGGAGGAAGAGGAAGAAGAGGAGGAAGATGAGGAGGCGCTGCTGGCTGACGAGGAGCCGGCCCCGGCCTTGGGCGGGGAGGCCCACCCCCAGCCCGGGCCCCAGGAAGAAGCGGCCCAGGCCCAGACGCAGCCCCAGCCCCAGCCCGAAGAGAGCGAAGGAGGCGGCGTGAATGGAGCTGAGCGACCGCAGGAAGAGGGGCCCAGCGGGGATGAGGCGGCGGCGGCCGAGGCTGAGACCAAAGAGGGGGGCGAGGAGCCCGGTGAGGCCTCTGACGGGGTTGGGGGGAAATCAGCCGTAGGTGACTCCCGCCGATTCCTTGCCCCACGGACACTACCTTACCCCACAAGTCATACCCTGCACATCCGGTTGCTCTTTCCAACCCATCTGCAGGACACCCCTTATATTCTCTAATCCCCTTTCCGGCACATCCAGCTCCTAATCCCACATCTTCCATGGGTTTACCTTACCCCGCAAATGCAACCTTTTTATCCTACACATCCAGATCCCTCCCCACATCTTTCATGGGAATCTCTTGGGCCCCATCAGTTTCTGCTTCTCCTGTCTATCTGGGACTGTTCCCTTCCCTCTCATATTCAGATATCTTACAATTTATTTCACATTATGTCCTGGTCCACTTTACCCCAGCTATCTAGTCCTGTTTCCCCAATTATTTTCCTCCAGTATCACTGCAGCCAGGTATCTGTGGGGCAGACCAAAGGATTGGGAGCTTCTAGTTTCAGACATATTTGATAAATAGGTCTGTGTAAATCTGTGACATAATATTTTAAATAACCCAAGTAGGATTATACAGTTCCTGGTGCATGTGCAGAATAAGAAGAAATCTGTGAAACTTTTCAATTTTGAGGGCACAAACTACCCTGCCTCCTGGATGGGGATTTCCAGGCTCAGTGATAATATCCCTGTACATAATTCATCCTTTCACTTGTCTGAATATCTCTGTGCATTGGCTTTTGGTTCAGAAACCCTGTCTTTTGTGCATGGGCAATAAACCCCAGAATGGGGCTATAGGGTGTGATGGTAAAGTTCTGTCAGCACCAAGGCAAAGCTGACAGTTCTCTTCATTGATGTCCTTTTGGGATAAAATCCAAATCTGTTTTAAATTGAAAGTAGTTCCAGGCACCCATATTTATCACTGAGTCTGTTACCAACACTTGTAATTAAAATTGGCATCTAAACACACTTTACTGTTTTTTTCCTATCTTCCCATGAAATCTCAAAATTTAGAGGGGGGAGGGACCTGACTATAAACCTTTGTCAAAAATGTCCATAGCAAACAGACAGTTTGCAGGTTAGTTGTAGTGGTGAGGGTCCCAGAATATTAGAGAAACAGAATATGAAAGGTACATATCTGTTATTAGACTGAATGTTATTGGTGAAATAATCAAGCTTACGGAGAGTTTTTCAGGTCTGTATAAGCTTGAAGTTGATCAACTAACACTTAAACTTCAGTTAGGGTAATCTTTGTGATTGCTTACAATAAAAGATAAATAAAAGTTGATTGCAAAGTTTTATGTTTGAGAGACTTTCCAGGCTGATCGCTCTGCTTACTAGCTGTTTGTCATTAATCATTTGCTATTTTACAAGTTCATTGTAAAATAGCAAATACAAATAACAACTTTGATATTGATATCACTCTTTCATATTCCTTCCCTTATTTTGGTTTCTAAAGTGTTCAGGGAGGGGAAAGCCCATCTGACCATAGCGCACACAATTTAATTGGATTTTTTTCTTTGGGTTTTGGTTGGCTTTGATTTATGTTGTTACTACAAGGTCAGCTTTGTTTTTTCTATAAAATATATGCATGTGACTTCAGAGACCCTGATCTCGCAAACACACATTTAACTTTACTATCAGGGCTCTCCTGTCAAGTCCCATCTCTCTCTCACCCTCCTTGAGTTAGGGGGTTTCAAAAGTATGTTTGTGAGATCTAAGTCTGTGGGGGAAATAAAACAAAGTTTTAAGGCCTAACAGTTGGAAAAATATAAATGCAAAATTAAAAATGTAAAATACATCTCGTTGTATTCTGGCAAGACCAGAGTAAAATGAGGTGTTTCTCTAGAGCTTTTCCTGCACTCTTTAGGGCATATCTGTATCTTCAGCAATTTGTATGTGAAACATGGGGTATTAATATGGATACTTAATGCTTGTACAGTTCATTTCATTTCAGACAATTACAGATGTTACTAATTAACTAATGAACATTAAACCCAGATTTTATATGTAAGTTAGGGAGAAACTGAATTTAAATGTTTGCTTCCAAAAACACTTTAGTTCTTCAGTTCACATCTGTGTTTACCAATTCAACATAATTAAATAATGCTGTCAACTTAAAGTTTGGTCAGTTTAACAAAGTTAAAAGTAGTTTCAGGTACCAATCATACCCGTGAGTACATCTGTTAATTTTTGTGTTTTTATAAAATCCTATTTTTGTTTCTGGAATGTTATTTTCCCAAATTGCAGTGTGAACGATTCACATGAGTAAAATGGGAAATAGCAAAGCTGGTTCTAAACTAAACAAACTGAAATGAGGATTTGTAGTGATCTTTATTGTCATTCATCAGTAGATGACAGTCAGGCAGAAGTGTAATCTTTAAGATGATGGTGTCCCTTTAACAGTTTTTTTTTAAAGTTTAATGAAATGGCCAAATTTTTTATAGACTGTCCATGAGACAGAAGCACTTTATAGGTGTCATCTCTTTGCCAAGAGGATATATCAGGCAAGTGGAACCCATAAGTTTTGTTTCACTTTCAGTAAGACTTGCTGACTTTTTCTTTTGCCCCCAACAGTGGACGAAGAGGACGGGGATAAATCAAAGCCAACAGGTTCAGATGGAGAGCGGCGAGGGGTTAAGAGACAACGTGAAGAAAAAGAAGAACATGGCCGTGCTTATTATGAATTCCGAGAGGAAGCTTACAATAGTCGGTAAGAAGCAGCAAATCTTGGGTCCAGTTCTTACAGGCGATTCACGTTACTTCGTAGGCAATGGATAAAATGTTTTGATCAGCTGACTCTGGAATTAGGCAGACCTTGCTCGTGGATGCAGGGGAAAGGTTTAAATTTGATTTGGAACTATGTCAGAATATGTGTTCTTGATTTACATTCTGCTGTTTTTTTTCTATTCTAAATGGGCTTATTCCTGGATATTCTGTAGGAACCTGATCTCTTGTTTCTTCTCTCACTCTTGCCTAGGTCTAAGTCTCCACCACCACCAGAAGAAGAACCGAGAGAGGAAGATGATGAAACTGTTGTGATCCTGGACACATGTATGTATAGGCGATGTGGTAGCTATTTGATTCATACTACATTTAAAATTCAGAGCTTTAATTATTAGGTATATAATTTGAGAAACCCAGCATCACAGTTAATGATGTTTGTGTCAAAACAACCGAGGCCTCTCTGCTCCTTCATCCACCATAGGGTTTACAGAAGCTTGCGTAAGTGGAACTGTGTGGAGCTGGAACATGTGTAATTCTTTTTGATCTTTTGGTCAATATATGGTAGATTTGGAGGTACTTGAGTGGAAAGTGCAGCATTAATGCTGTTGCACGAAAGTAGTGCTTTTCAGTCTGGTCTGCGAACTCCTGGGGGTATGAAAAGTGTCTTAAGACTTCCAAAGGTGTCTGCACCTCCGTCTGGAATTTTGCAGATGCCTACAAATGTGAAAAGGTTGAAAACTACTACACTAGAGCAACTTTGGGCCTGCCAGTAAAACTGGAAGAGAAGAAGGGTAGAAGACTATCTTCTAACATGTTAATTTCTATCTAGATATGAACCAGACTTACAGGTGCTTGTGGTTTAATGCTTTTGTGTACATGTGAAGAAGGAACTTGGTGTAAACTGATGTCTCCTTTCTGATAGATACATCTGATCTCCACTTCAAAGCAAGCAAGGACCGCTATGGAGGACAACCTCTTTTCTCAGAGAAGTTCCCCTCCCTTTGGTCTGGGGCCAGGAGCACCCATGGAGTGACAAAGGGGAAAGTCTGCTTTGAGGCAAAGGTAGGACACCTGGTAGATGGATGTGGTGAGTCAATGTGTTGGGAAGTGGCAAGGCTGTTCTACTGATCCCTGGCCCTTGCAATACTGAATGAGATGTTAGATCTGAGGTAGTCTAATTTAATAAAAATCTAGTAATATTTAATAGGTTGAAATTTAGATTAGCTCTAAAGAAACTCACCATGCTTATCTTAAGGATGTGTGTGTGTGACACAAGGACTGGGTAAGGTACTGTTGTGATGAGAAGATCTTTCCCGAGCTGTGTCTAAACTACATCCCTTTTCTAGAAAAAGGGATGTAAATTAGACACTTTGAAATTGCAAATAAAGCTGGGATTTAAATTTCCCGCACTTCATTTGCATAATGGCAGCTGCAGGTTTTTTTGAAAAGGGGCTTTTGGAAAGAAAAACGGTTGTTTAGACGGGGATCATTTGAAAATAAAACCCTTTTTTGAAAGATCCTGTACTCCTCCAAATGATCCCCATCTAAACAAACGTTTTTCTTTCGAAAAAACCCTGCGGATGCCATTATGCAAATGAAGTGTGGAAAATTTAAATCCAGCTTCATTTGCAATTTTAAAATGTCTAATTTAAATCCCTTTTTTGAGAAAGGGATGTAGTTTAGAGACAGCCCCAGAGTGTAGAGAGAGAATGTCAGAATTGACTCTGGCTGTGGCTCTGTTTAAAAATGCAAACAAAGGCCCACTTTTTGTATCAGAGCCAAATTTCTCACTTAAATTTATTTAATTGTAGCCTTTTGCTGCTTTTAATAGAAAGACCGCCTGAAAATTCTAGGGTCTTTTTTTCCTTGTGTTTTACTTTTGCAGTATAAAGATTTATCAAGTCTGGATTTCCCTAGTTTGCTGGAGGGCATAGGGTGCTTGGGGATGGGATGATAAGGAGTTTGGTTCAATTAAGGACAAAAGGCTCATAAAAAGAAGTTATGGAGGGTTTAATCTTTAGCAAACATTTCTTTCTTTCCAAGTGTTAATTATGCATTCCAATAATACAGTTGTTCTCAAAGCAGACTTGTAATCAGTCTAGCTGAAATTCCCTATCTCTCTTTTTTTCCTCAGCTGTCAGTTTTTTGTGACGCTAACTTTACTAGTTCTTCATTCACAGCAGCCTCTGTATTACTTAGTCTTAGATACCTAATGTATAAAAAGCTTTTTCTTAAACATCTTTCAGGTATGGATGTAACAGTGTAGCTATTTAAATGGGTAACCAATAAGCTCATCTTATTGGTCCGTAACTCGAACTGTTCGTAACTTGGACCCCACTGAGTTACACGTGACCGTGCTGTTCGTAAGCGCGGGTTGCGTTCGTAACTCAGGGACCGCCTTTACGACCGCTCCATGGGAGCTTTGGTTGTAAGTGCGAACAGTTGTAACTCGACCGTTCGCAACTCGGGGAGCAGCTGTACACAGTTACATGCATTTTAACATCCCTATTTTCAGGAGGCTTTCAGACTGCCTAGGAAAAGTGAAAAGAGTGCAATGCTATTTCTTATTTCTGTGCAAGTTATATTTAAATGCTGAATTTTGTGGGTTTGTCACAAGATTTTTCTTTTCCCAGATAAAGGATTTCCCATGTAAAGCAATTATTTTATTTTGGAAAAGAAATTCCTCGTTATTTCATCAGTAGCTGTTCAGTCCTGGGTATTGGTGTGGCCATACCTGAAAGGAACCAGTTTTGCATAAAATACATATTTCCTTATGTTTACCTTTATCACTACAGTCTCCTATTTAAGAGAATTTCTAGTTGGTGGATATCCTCTCAGATGGGAGTAATCATGAGAATGCTGGTTGAAGCTCAGAATTTGGCAGTCTTGGTAAATGGATTTCAGAACATAAATATATACATCCCAATGCCAAGACACAAGTTTCTATATGGCGCCAGGTTCCCAGTGCTGTCTTTCATTCCTGTTACTGTCTCTGATCTTGTGCGATAATGGGTAGTTGGAGACGATAGAGTTTTTGTAGAGGGAAACAAGTGAGTATATAGTCCTACTAGTATAGTGTCTCACCTAAGCAATAGTCAAGGATTGGCTGGGGGAACATTGCCATGGTCAGATATCTCACTGGGCTCTGCACCAAAAGAATAGACTGTCTAAATGTGGTTTGTTCTAACTCTTGGGGAATCAACTTCTAAATGGCGGAGGTGATTTGGTGCTGCTGCTGTGTTTGTCTTAGGGCAGGGGTGGGGAACCTCAGGCCTGGAGGCTGGATGCGGCCCCTGGCTTGCCTGGATCTGGCCCCTGAGGCTCATTTGCCCTCCACCATTGTGGAGTCCATGCTGGTGCTACAGCCCCCTGTTGCCTCACGGTGGGGCTTGAGCACACAATATCTGCTAGGATGAGCCCTTTATGCTCTGGTGTGCGAGGGGTAAATGGGGAGTCTTTTTCCTTCTCAGCCAGGGGCCACATTTTTTGTTTTTGGGTTTTTTGTTTCTCACTTGTGTGTGGCCCCCGACTGATTTTTTTTTTCTGTGGGTCAGCAGCCCCCAACCCAAAAAAGGTTTCCCCTACTTTACAGTATCTGACATGAGTGCCTCTCTCTGAAGCAGATGAGATCTATATTTTAATAAACTGTAGGGCATTAACCTGTGGCTTTAGTACAGAGATCTGTGCCTGTGTCCAGATTGTGTAAATCTTTTGACTAGGACCTGGAGGATTATAGTCTTGCAGAGGCCTGACTAGTTTTGCAAACAACACAACATGCTAAATGACTTCTCCTGTAATTTCTCTAGGTGACACAGAATCTTCCAGTGAAGGAAGGTAGTACAGAGGTCCCGCTTCTTCGGGTTGGATGGTCTGTGGATTTCTCTCGTTCCCAACTAGGTAACTGAGTTCATTTTTCTTCTATGTTAGCTATAAACTGCAGCAGGTTACTGAGCTATTGAGATTTTGTAAAAGTATTAATGGGCAGTTTGGCTCAACCGTGACGAGATGTGAACAACTAGTCGACTATCTGGTAAGCAAATGCTTAGAGTTGCTCTCCCACCCCCTTGCTCCCTCTATCAGAAAGAGGCAGCAAGTGGGGAGGAGGGAGTACTTCAAAGTGGCAGTGCCACATGGAGCCTGGGCCATCTAGGGTGTCCCCAGGTTGCACACAGCGTTTCAAAGTATCAGCGCCGTATGAAGCCCAGGATCAGTGTGGGAGCCAGCTGACTCGGGGCTCCATGCAGTGCTGCCGCTTTGAAATGCTGTGTGTAGCCTGACGCTGAGCTCCCTGTGGTGTTTCAAAGTGGCAATGCCACATGGAGCTACAACCCTAGGACTATTGCTACACATCAAAGGCAGAGGCGCCCTATCGACTAATCGAATAGTCGATGCAAAGTGCATCGACTATTCGATTAGTCAGTTACTCAATATTTAACATTTCTAACCATAACACAATTTGCGAAAACATGTTTGGCTGATGAGGCAGATCATGGTGTCTGAAACAGTCATGTGGTTGAGGGACATATACGCAGAACACATCACAGGACACCAACAGTACCAAGATGAATAAACAGGACATTACTGACAAGGGCCACAGTTAGGGAAGTAGCCCAAATTCTTCCTGCAGAGAGCCCACTCCAGAAACTGAAGGACAGTGGAACAGTCCTTACCCATTTACATATCTGCTTACTAGGGATGTTAAAATAAGTATTTTTGTAAACATGTAACCACTGAAATTGGGAAGGAGGGAGACGGTGCTTGCAGAAAGATGGCTTTTAAGCTGGCCTGAGCCCCAGCTCCTGCCTACTCCCTCTTCCCCACGCAAAGGCAGCAGTAGAAGGAGGAGTTGGGGCTAGCGGCTTTGTGGGGGCCAGCTTGAAAGTAGGCTTCCTGCATGTACCGGTTCCCACCTGCCCCTCCTCCTGTGCTGCTGCCTCTGTATCAAAGGTAGCAGCATGGGGGGCAGGTGGCTCAGCAAGAGCCAGCTTAAAAGCCAGCTCCCCACATGCACTGGCTCCTTCCTTTCTCCTCCCCCACACCCTGCTTCCTTTGATACATGATTAACCGATTAGCCCGGGCTTATTGCTTAACCTTGTATACAGGGACACACATTAACATCCCTACTGCTTACCACAACCAATTGCATAACATTTCCAATGGGTGATGCACCCAAACACTTATTCCCTACTATCTAAAAACTTGCATACCTAACTCTGGATCAATGCTGGTCATGTACCATACATGTCTTGTGATTTTCAAAGTCAGACCCCAGATGTACAGAGCCTTTCCTCTTAACCTGTTCATTTTGATTTCAAACATTTATCTGCTGCTCTTTTTCAGGTGAGGATGAGTTTTCCTATGGCTATGATGGACGAGGATTAAAGGCTGAAAATGGGCAGTTTGAGGAGTTTGGTCAGCCCTTTGGGGAGAATGATGTGATCAGCTGCTTTGCTGTAAGTACTCGAGATAAAACCTGTGGTAGACATTTCAGAGGCAGGAGGGAGGAAGTTTTCTATCCTTGCATCAAAATGTGTTAACATAAGATAGTCCATTCCTCTCCTGTGTGTAAGGAAACAGCTGTATACTTTCTGCAAACAGGAAGACAGTCTTGAAATGTCTCTCTGGTATGTTTCTGATTGACTGCATTAGATTGGACAACAATAAGCCTGGAAGTGGCTTTCCTCCTGTTTGTGCTGGAGCCTGTTAGGAGATGGTTTTGGAGGAAAGATGGTGGAGGCAAAATAGTGGCCAACCCTCAAAGCTTCTGATCTCAGGATTCTTGTGTTCTTTGTTGTCACAGAACTTTGAGAGTGAAGAGGTGGAGCTGTCCTTTTCCAAGAATGGGGAAGATCTGGGAGTAGCCTTCCAGATCATTAAAGAATCTCTGGGTGAGAGAGCCCTCTTGCCACATGTGCTGTGCAAAAACTGTGTGGTTGAATTGAACTTCGGTCAGAAGGAGGAGCCCTTCTTCCCAATTCGTGAGGAATATGTGTTCATCCATGCCATTCCAGTTGAAGATCGAGTGCGCACACCTCTTCCACCAAAAACCACAGAGGAATGTGAGGTAATGGGGTTTGTTTCAGACAGACTTAGTTACTGCTTGTAAGGAGTAATCATGGCTGAGAGTTAGTGGTTGCAAGCATATGGGCCTGTTTTTTAAAGGAATACCTGAAATATATGTGGAAAGAGCCATTCCTGGCAAGTTATAGTGTTGACTTTAACTGTTTCTCCTCAGAGCTACTTAATCATTTCAGCTCTTCCTCTAATCTCTGTGGGTGTGTCTAGACTGCAGGCTTTTTTCGAAAAAATCTTTACCTGCGTCTAGACTGCTGCCCTGTTCTCTTTTTCATAAATATAAAAAA